CTCCCACACTCTTCTGGCGAGCTAAGAAAATGTTTATCTCCCTGAACCTGGCCTTCATAATTCCATTCCATCACACATACCACTCTTCAGCCAAAGTGATAATAAAAATGCTGTTGATCTCCATCAAAACCAAACCAAAGCCGTTAATGCATGCGAACTAAAACCTAGTTCTTCGTTGTCCTATAGAGTAGATCAAAGTCACTCACAGTGTAAGTTCATTGCATGTACTTTATAAAGAGCAGGAAATTGATGCACACGACCACAATTGCCTGCACATACCTAAACAAGCCATGACAGTGGACTTTCTAATTCTTCCTCCTAAATGGGTTCTCCATAGTCAACATTTGTAAGACAGAATCTCAGATTTTCTTCCTCTTTATCAGCTGTTCCTTGGTGTTCAGCTCAGGACGCAGTATGATTATGTAGCATTTTGGGAAAAAGATGCAGCCAAGTAGCCCAGCACTGGAGACTAGGATACAGAAGATCTCCACAGTTACCATATATTTTCCCTTAGTGCTCAGATAGGTTGGAACAAAAGTCATCCAAACACTGCAAAACATCAACATGCTAAAGGTAATGAATTTGGCTTCATTGAAAGTGTCTGGCAACTTTCTGGTGAGGAAAGCCACAGTGAAGCTGATGATGGACAGAAGTCCCATGTAGCCCAGGACAAAGTAAAACATGATGTTAGAACCTTCATTGCAATTTGCTATGATCTCTTTGGGTAGTGACTGCATATCCAGATCTGGGTATGGGGGAGAAGTTGCCATCCACACAACACAAATGCCTGCTTGGATAAGGCCGCTTAAAAGAATGGGGAAGCTAGAAAGTCTTCTCCCAAGCCACCTTCTCATGTTGGACCCTGGTTTGGTAGTCATGAAAGCTACAACCACCATGATGGTTTTGGCCAACACAGAAGAAATAGCTACTGAGAAGATGATGCCAAAAGCAGATTGACGGAGAAAGCAGGTCACCTTGTTGGGTTCTCCAAGGAATAGCAAAGAAGAAAGGAAGCAGAGGAGGAGAGAGAGGAGGAGAATGTAGGTGAGATCCCGGTTGTTGGCTTTGACAATGGGAGTATTTTGGTGTGAAATAAATATTCCAAGCACCAAGACTGTGGTGAAAGAAAAGGAAAAGGCTCCTGAGGACAGAATAATCCCTAATGGCTCTTTGTAGGAAAGGAAGGTTATTACTTTAGGGAAGCATTTGTCTCTACTCTTGCTTGCATACTGATCTTCTGGACAGTGGAAACAATTGCCCATGTCTAAAAGAAAAGATGAACAGACTTGAATTAATATATAATTGCATGAGTGTGTTTTCCGTGGGAGTCTCTATCCATACTGACTTGGATCTCTTGCTTTCCACTACAGAGATGACCTTCTAAAACACTCTTGGAGCATTGTTTAAGTATGCTGCTTCTTCTTTTCCTAAAAATGCCTGCAGATTACTTTCAGTAGTCTGCCAAAACTAAACATCCTGAAGATCATCATATTAGGAAAGACTATGTTAGGGGAATGTTGCTACTAATAGAATAAGTAATATGAACTTCTAGAGTAACTGTTAATTCAGAGGAAACAGAAGTTCATCCCATGAAAACTAATACATTTTAGTTCTTGCCTTTCCTGAATTATGATGTTACTTATATTTTTCGTCCATGTATATTGCTCCCACAAACCATTTATGATGAAGATCAATTCAAAACCCACCTTTCCATCTTGAAATCATTCCTTCAAGGCACTGAACACAGCCATAGCAGCAGAATTTCTTCCCATCCTCCTTTTTCTTATGATAACCTGGGTCACAGGAATCTGTACACACAGAAAGGGGGATCATCTAACCATAAAAAAGAAAAATAATGTTCTTAAATGGCATTTGGAAATTACATTTTGGAATCAAAATAGGAGAAAGACATGGTCCCATTTTCCTATATATAGGTGGCAGTACTTATCAAAATGCAACAAACTTCTTTTTTTTTTTTTTTTTTTTGATAAACCCTTATCTAGATTGGATCTGTTGAATATCTTGAATGGGAGATTATCAGGAAATCCCAGGGAATTTTGAGAAGTTAAGAAAAAATCCCCGAAGAAGAAACTATTTTTCTAATTTAAAGTGCAAGAAGATTTGAAGACCAATTTAACTTGATTTCAGCCTTTCTTTTCTAGTGATAATTATTTTTTTTCTCTTTCTTGGGAAAACTTGGTTAGAATGTCTGGAGGGCTAATGTCATATATGATTATTTGTACATGGTATAAACATGAGGAATAATGTTTGATAATAACTTTATAAATAACATAATAAATAATGAATGATGTCCTTCATGCCTAAAAGACTATACTAGACAGTCACTGAAAATATCCCTCCCAAAGATCCACCTAAATAAAAAATTAGTAGGTTTCACAGAAGATCTCCAAGAAGTCAGTTTAACCATAAAGGAAACATTCAAGCCCAAGGTTATCTATCTTGATATAATGAAGACCATCTCTAAGATCAGAATTCATACCTGATTATAATACTGTGGCCAGATAATTTTATTTTCATGGATGGTGACTTTTTGTTCTTCAAGAACATGAGGATTCAGTTCTCCAACTTTCACTCTAACAAAGGAGTTGTTGGAGAATATGACCAGATTGATAATATCAAATCCAGCGACCAGTTCTCTATTTTCATTAAAGAACACTGTTTCTCCAGCAGAGTTGTTAAACACTATGCATTGAAGAACTGGGTGAAGCTAGTTGAAAGAGGGAAAGAGAAGGTGATGAATTCAAGGGATGTTTCCCAGGGTGCTTCAGATATACAGAATTTCAGATAGAAATACTCAATCAGTAGTTAGAGAGCTAATTATTAAGTGGGGGACAGGTCTTATCATGTTCACAGCATGAGAAGACACTGTAGGTGGTCCTAAAATTATGGTGGTGGTGGTGGTGGTGAAGATGATAACTTTGTATCTTGCTTTTTATCTGAGAGCTCAAGGTGGCTTACATGAAAGTTAAGCTGCATCCACAAAAGTGTATTTTTAATATCACAAAAATCAAGAGTTCCACTTTATTTTGCTCGGGTCAGACCCCACCTTGAATGCTATGTCTTTAAGAAGGATTCTGAAAATAAGAACAGGTTCAGAGAAGGACAGCAAGGACAGACAGGGAACTTGAATCAACGTTCTATGAAAAGTAACTGAAAAAACTATATATTCTCCTCTCCTTGAGAGGAGAAGAATGTAGGTATAGCATCTGAAATATCTGCAAGGCTGTCACACAGAGAAAGACCAAGTCATGTTCTCTGTCTTTCCAAAGCTGACAATAGGAATGTAGAGATGTACAAATCATGTTACAAGAAAACCAGTTCTAATTGAACATGGGTGTGTGTGTGTGTAGGGGGGGACCCTTCCTCACAGTCAAAGCAGTTCAACAATACAACCAATTCTCTACAAAGGTTTGGGGCTCACTACTCTGCTGGATGTCTTCCCACCAAATTTGCAATACTGCCAGCTCTCTATGGTAGCTTCCTGTCCCATGCCCTCCAATAGGGAGGATGCACACCAGGTCCTCTCACTGAATTAATGCCACCTTGTAGAACCTTAGAAGTGTGCTTTCTCAGTGATGGCACCGACTTTTTGGAATAATCTGCCCCCCGATATACAGTTGGCCCCAACCCTGCACATCTTTAGAAAGGCAGTAATGGCCTGGCTCTTTCCCCATTGAGTAGAGACCCCACTGTTGTGTTATAGTACATTTAGTCTGGTTGCCACTTTATGGTTTTAGTTGGCTTTTAAAGTAGTGTATTGCTTTTGCAATTGTAGTTGATTTTTGTATGCCTCCCAGAGTCACTTTGTTGAGTTGGGCAGGTATATAAAATGTCATTTATGCACACACACACAAACACACACACACACTATTTGTTGGGGGAACTTTGATCCCTATTTTTGCACTGAGCAAGGGGTTGGATTTGATGGCTCCAGTGGCCCATCTCAACACTGCACTTCCACTTACCACAATTACACTTCCTCTTACATTCTCTAGCAGATTGCTGTGGTAGAGATGGTAGGGCTAGAGCTAGAAATACATCATAGACATACAATCAGGTAGAAGGAAAACTACTTTTGTGTGTCACCAAGAACCAATACCCAGCTCAATGCTATTTCACATCCATTTAGTTTACTCGTGGCTTTGTTTTATGTTACTTTAAGATCTCATTGGGCAATTCCAAGAAGCAGCAGTCTTACTTCCAACTCTTCCAATAAGTTACTGAAAAAATCACAAGAGGTTCCTTTGCAGATGTAACATATATACCAAACACTCTTTTGGCTGCTGAATGCTCCTAGACCTTGGAGTGATGTCATAGCTCAGTAATAAAAATCACTATGCTTCACTTTGACAAGTTGAACTGCTTCAGTTCTGTGGGACCAAACTATAGCTTTACGAAGGACTATGGCTGAAATATTACCTGCCAAGGCTGGAGATCTTGAAGACTTTGGCTTCCCACTCTTTCTCTGTATGTAGATCTAGACGATAACATAGCATGTAGAGCATGAGCTATGGAATAGACTGCATTGTACACACTGTAACTGTGACCAGTCATGCTCATCTCAAACACAGGGCTAGGAAGGTCTCCTAACCTCTCACCACCATTGCATATTCCAGCAATCTTCTCTGGCTCTTTCAGATTTGTAAGTGAACACTCAAAGGCTTGCTCCCAGAATCTCTCGAGAAAGCCATCTCCTTCTGAGTTAAAAGGCATTATGTTCTGAAGGTATGCTTGGAACCCTAGAAGCTTATTTGAGTGAATAGAGAAGGAAATAGTCCCTTGGAAAATTTTAAAATACTTACGAGTAATGAAGGCTGTTACTGTAAAATCAATCTGGAAAGTTGTAATCCATACCTTTCCAAGAGATATGTTTGCTTTGTATTCAAGATCTGCTAGAGGCACTAAAGTGCTCAGCCACAGAAGTGTCATGCTTTCCCCATAAATAATGCATGCTCTAGCTTGTCTATCCATGAAGGATTTATAGATAATTGAGGCCATATCTCCAAGTTCGTCAAGAGGAAGAAAGAGACCTTGTTTAGGGACCATTCTTCTGAAAGCAGAACAGATTCCACTTTCATGCAGCATCTTTTCCAGGGTGTTGAAGAAATGTTCCCCCGTGTCATCATCCACAGCAAGGAGCCCAACCCATGTCCATCTGAAATGTAGAAGCAACTGGATAATACCCTTATACTGATGGCTTTCATTTGGGACCATGCGGTAGAAGGAAAGAGGATGTGTTTTGTCTTCTGAGGCAAATGAGCCATAACTAAGCTAAAAAGGAATGTACATATTTTTGAAGGTAGATGAAAAGATCAAGGAACATTAGTCAATCAGTGCATTTACTTTATTTCAGAACTTATATCTGGATAATCAAGCCACGAATTAGAAATCAGCTAGACAGTGTTGTGTTCATCCTTTCTTCCTGCTCCCCTTGAGCCAATATGACAGGAGAAGGAATACAATTAAGATACATTACCATGTCTGACTTCTTCAGAACTAGTTTTTACCTGTGGAATCTTGTAGAGACTTAAGAAGTCTGCCACATGGGTTGAGATATCCAAACTCATTCCCCCAATGACAGCTATAAGATTTCTCCTGGAGTCACATTTGTAATTGGGGATATATTGGTGTGATTTGAAAAGCAGGTCCAGTGTGGTCCAGTAAGTCATGCGTGCATCATAATAGCTATCATAAATGTGGAATCCTAGTGTAAGATTTGGCAAGATATTTGCATTTGCATTGATCTCACTTATGGCAAATGCCAAAGTCAGGACATGCTGGTAGAACTTGGTCACCATCCTGCAAAGAGAAATATGTGGCCAAATTATGCCGTAGACTCAGAGGTGAAAACAGTAGAATTTCTAGGCTATTGATTTGGGGGGAAAAGTGACTTGGGGGGACAAGACTGAGGTCTATAAAATCATACATGACATGGAGAAAATAGGTAGGGAGATCTTGTTCACTCACTCTCAGACCACTAGGAACAAGGTTCATCCAATAAAGGTGTTTAGAAGAAGACATAGAACAGAGAAAAGAAAGCACTCATTTACCCAGCATGTAACTGAACAGTGAGATTAAATTATTACATGATCTAGTGATGACTGTTAAATTTGGTGACTTTTCAAGGTGGTTGGAGGAATTCATGGAGGACAGGTTATTATCCTGATGAATCATCATGACTCAGTGGTCTACAGCGACTAGGAGCTGCAAATTTCCAATAAAATTTGCAAGACAACAACAGCAGGAGAGGAAATGCCTCCATTTCCTACTTGTGAGCATCTCAGAGAAATCTGGGTTGGCCAGTGTGAGAAACAAAATGGTAGATGAAGATGGGCTTGGCCAGAACCAGCAGGTCAATTCTTATACTTGTATACCTTATAGCCACCAATTCTAACACCATTCATGTTATCTAACGCCTGTACTGGTCCATTCAGAGATATCTGATTATAGAAAACAGTCTATATTTGCTCAAGCAACTTTTTATAACCTTTAATGAAATAAGGAGTCCAAACCCCCAACGCCTGAGAATTGAACATGCTATATTTGGCCCTTGAGTTGGATGGGGAGGGTTGAACTTCATCATGTGTCCAGTGAAAGAACAATGGAGTGAATAGAATCAAAATGGCATGGAATGTAACTTAAATTAAAATCTAATTACATATAGTTGATCTTCCCCAATTCCTGATGCATTTCATGACTTTCTCCATCATGGGTGGTGCTGGAGGTTGTGTGTGTCACCATTCATGATTTTCTTGCTTTAAAGTGAGGCCACAAAGTTGATTGTAGACCACATTAGAAGGATCATATTAAAAAGAAGTATGCAAAAGGAAACAAAGAAGAAACAGAAAGGGAATGAGAACAGCAAAGAGGATATGGTGAACATTTGAAACCCGTGATAATGAGAGGTGTGGAAGTGGATGAAGAAAATATGGTATAAATTTAGAATACAGTTGTTATTAGGATCATGGAGCATTATATAGTTGTCTTTCGATCAAGTTCAGATCATTGGTATGGACTTATCCATGCAGTTTTCTGGGCATCATGCAGGAGTAGATCTTTGGATTTTTATTTTTTTTTTAAGCTTTTTAGCCTTTGTATTCCCTGCCATTCTGCCATCTAAGTCCTAACCAAGACTGACCATCTCATCTTCCATGGTCCTCTATTTTGCCCCTTAAAGTCTTAAGAAGGTAAGACCTGCAAAACACATTCTTGGTATTCCAGGATTTGCATATTACTGGAATTCCAAGCTCACATGAGTAAGGAAAAATATATATATACACACACACATATATAACCTTACACTGCAAGTTCAATCTCTAGATCCATATAAGGATGTTGCTTGAAGCTAACTGCAGGGAAAAAGCAAATGATCTGAGAAGCTATGCCACCAACGGTGAGATCCCCGGATTTATGCCATTCATGAGGAACTGTCTGCTTCTCAAGCAAGGGGCAGTTCATGCTGCTTTTTGAGCATGATATTTGGGGCAACAGCAGGAGCAACACTACTAGCATCAGAGCCCACGTGAAGACCTTTTCTCTGGATGTACCCATTGCTGCCTCATCACCTGGGTCAGTCACGTTCACCCAAGGTGCACTGACAGCTTGAAGACCTGACTTGGAAAAGGACATCAACCTGAACTTGAATATCAACATCCTTGAGAATGCATGAGTTCCAGGATGAGTGATGCAGTATAATTTGAAGGGAGAATGGTATGTTTTACAGAATCCTGCCTGTCTTCTGCTGTTGGTTATGGCTCTGAAAGGTAACACCTGAGAGATTTGTAAAGCTGTAGTTGAGTTGGTTTGGATGTTGTTTTCTGCCTTGTTTTTCAGAAAGTTCTTGGCATTCTGCCAAAGAGAAGTAATAATAGATCATTTCAAGGACCACAATTTGGCCTCCATGGAATATTCTTGATAGCAAATTATTTGTTTCCCCTTCTTCTCTCCTACCCCCCCCCCTTTGTTTTCAGGCAGATAATTGGCAAACAGGAATTGAAGCCATGTGGGTGTGTAAAGAAGTGCAAGGAAGGTAAATCACATATGTGTAATGATGTTATCACTCAAATCACATGACATGCAGGTACATGCATCTGACGTTATGACACCATAACAACATGCCATAACACGCTTGTCTTCATTTTAACATTATCATGGCTTGTTACAATGTCAGTGTGGAGCAATTGGTAGCATGACTGCAAACAAACCATAAAGTTGTCCTCCTCTAGCTTCCCACAAAAAATGGTTGGTCATAAGTGACATACCTCACTCCATCTTCTCTCATCTTTCATTTTTATAGTTTGAGCTATCTTTTGTCTGTTTGTTTGAAATGTTGCTCCACTAACCACATTGCAGGTTTAGATACCCCAAGTTTCAAATCTCTGAAAAAAATGAAGCAACCTCTATCTTTTTATTCACAGATCAAAAGTTCAGAGCACAATCATTTAGCAACTATTGATTTAGGCATTATTTTTTCTGATTCTAAAACAAAAAACTATTTAGAAATAATTCAATGTACAGTATGGCTTTGATATCAGTCCATCAACAAGCTTTCTTACAGAAACAAAGCAGTATCAAAGATTTGTTACATTGCTGCAAATTAAAAAAACAAAATAAGAGATTTGCAGGTTATATCAAATTGCATAACATTGATGCAAAAGCAAATAATATACAGTAATAAAATGGAAGACAAATTATTTCTATCTTCCTGCATTTTCTGATTTTCCATGTAACGACACTATACTTGGCAGGTTTTCAAACAAAATTCAGCTGCTTCCAAGTGATTCTGGAGTCTTATCTGCAATGAAATATATAAAAATCATCAGAAGCACCAGGAAATGTTTGTGTTACAGTATATCATGCATGGATATCCCTATTAAAAAGGCAGTAAAGAAGAACAGAACCAGTGTTTCTATCTCTCCATGCCCACCTGCACAGAATATTGAAAGTGTTCTTCTCTCTGTTCTAGAAAAATGCTGAAAGAATTGAACATTTTGTGACACTCTTTGAGGTACCCTGCCTCTTGGGGGTTACCAAATGGACTCATGATGTTAATATTGACATCAGGGCTTTGGTCAATTGGGACTTTCACATAACATTTTAGTAAGATAGGAAAGGTGTAGACAGAGATACCAGCTTCAGCTGCCTTCACCCACATGCAACATTTCCTGTCCGTGGTAAGAATATTATCAGTCAGTTTGGGCACACTTCAGCCAGTGTGTCATAAATTCAACCAATGCCCGATTTTACCCCAAGGATGTCCATGCTGGTAAGACATAAATGGAGTATAATGAAACATGCAAGATACTAAAAAAAAAAAAAATGTTCAAGATTTGTTAACCCAGTTTTACTGTTGCAGCTAAATGGTTCAAATGGGATAATTTGTCCTGACATCACAGCAAAACATTTTTTCTCAAGTTGTGCACAGTTTCTAATGGAGAAAGCAAGTCCCCCCCCCCCAACCACTTTCCCCTAATACAATATATTTACATTCAGGAAATAATTGCCTTCTAGGCCCTTAAATAGTGATTCTTTTTTCCTTTAATTAATTGACACTCAAGATACAAAATCCTGAGGAAACAGTAATAGTTATAAGCTATTGTGTCACAACTGTAGGTTTCTTCTCCTATTTTCTCTGTCAATCTTTCTTCTCTGTGCAATAATTTAAAGTAGGGAGTAGGGACATTCTGATATGTATGAACTCATTGTTCCAAACAAGACCAGGACATGGGTAAAAAGGAGGGAAAAAATAATGAATAAAAACCACACTACCAATATTCAGGGAATGGGGGACTCTGAAAAAAGGTGTTTCATTCATTTTCCTTCAAGAGACAGGAGGGAACTGTTACCTATCCATATTTTTCTCATAATTCCTCCATAGAACCAAAATGGGTGAGGTCAATAAAGTTGGGGGTCCTTCTATATGTATTACACTGAGGAAAGTGATGGGGCATCTCTATGGAAAGCAGTGCTGTAGATGAATTCATCAGGATGACATGATGGAGTAAAAGTGCCACTTGGATATATAGCAGGAGCCCAGGGTGGGGAAAACTTACCTTCAAGTAAGTAAAATCTCCTATGAATGAATTCAACTCCTAGTGACTTTATGGACAGCTCCATGTAGTTTTCTTCTTGAAGTGTTTCATTTTTGCCGTCTTCTGAAAAATTTGTTGATTTCTCAGTGTCACCTATAGCTTAATATTTTCTCCACCCAAATACTACTGACATCTCACCCTGTTTCCCTTCCCAAGCAAGATACTGCTATCTGTTGAGGTATAGATGGCATAGTGACCCACAGTATTTTAACTTTCCTAGGTTTCCGCACAAATCAGCTGTTGTTACAACTTGTAAAGGTCATAGAGTTTGTTCCATTCCAAGACTGAAGTCTTCATTCTTTCAGAATAAAGACAATCATTCTAAAAAAAAAATACCTGCATTAGAAGGAGCCTGAATACCATTCCCCTCCCACATTCAAGGCAAATCTAAATTTTGTGCTGGAAGATCATTTTCACGAAATGAGATAATATGATTTGTAATAGCTGTATATGGATAATTCTATAACTGACAGCAGCCTATATAAACTATAACTATATAACTGGCATATTATTTAACTCTGCCAAATTTTCCTTGATTTGTAAGAAAATCTGGAAATTAACTATAACTATTGATTTCTGTGCTGTTCCCAAAAATAATTTTTTACACATTTTTAACACAGAGGCACATCCTGAAATGTATACAAATACTGCTAATTTTCAATATCATATACTTGACTATGAAAAACTTTCCTATTTATTTATTTGTT